CCTCCCGCTTTTCAAGCGGGGGGTATAAAAAGAGGGTGTTGCTAAAACGCGAACGGAAAACGGAACGGAACGGAAAACGGAATATATTATTTTGGATTAAATCACTTAAAATACACAAAATTTATCATAAACGATATATCTTGTACATATTCAACCCCCCACTATTAAATACAAGTTGATTTTGTCATGCTCAGTGTCTTTTTTTTACAAAAATCGCTAACATACATATGTATATAAGTCACCTAGAATCGAATTTGAAAAAGGGAGATAAACGAACTTGAAAAGTACATGTATTTGACAAGCAAAAATACAAAAATAAAACAATTGTTTGATTTGGGAGGGGGATAAGTTCCAATTCCAACATCTTTCAGTACTATTTTTTGAATACTAACATACTAAATCAATTACATTCACAAAAAGTGTGAGGATGTCAACTTGAAGAACATTTCCTTAGTAAAAAGTTTATGACCGGGGTATCAAATATTTGATATCTAAATGAACCATGAAAGAAATAAAATGTAAAAAAAAAAAAATTATTAAGATAATACGTTTAGGGCAAACCTTTACGGCAAGCTCGAATAAACGTCTCTTATATGCATACTGGTTGTTAACATTTTATTCAAAATAAAGAGGTTTTCTATATATTTAAATTCTGGAAAGACAATGCAAAGTTGGAAAACTTTCATGTGGTAGATATGATGCAGAATCTTTGCATTCAATGAAGTTAAATTTTGCTTGCGGTACATATGTGTGTATGTTGGGGGGTGTTTATATGAATGACCCCGTAAAAAATGAGTTTGTTTTCCCGCTCATCGGAAAGGTCTGACAAGTTGTAATAGGTATGTCTCCACCCTTTTTGTGTCAAAAATATACATAAGGTTTAATAAATCAATTTTTAATGACTGTGGGTCCCTACAGACCCGAAACTGCCACTCCCCCTTTCATGATTCGCGAATTCGACACTACGTGCATAATCTGAATATCATAAATAGTTATTTTTGTCTTTACAGACATTGAAATTGGAAACAAATTGAAAGAAGGGGGGGGGGTGTCAGTAAAAATTTTCCAACATACAACAAATTTGACAAGCCAAAAAAAGGGGATATGTCCTTTGCCCAAACACGAAAATCTTATATCGTGTGTGTTGTGTGGGGGGGGGTCGAATTTCTTTCAGTACCATTTTTTCCACGGAAGTTGTGTATGACTCATGAATATATATTAGTTTACAATAAATTTTTATCAGAAATGATTTTAACAACAGGAATATTGCTCTTTTATCTGATTTATATCGAATCGATGTTATTTGTTTGACAAAAATTTTCCGTTTTCCGTTCCGTTCCGTTTTCCGTTCCGCGTTTTAGCAACACCCCCCAAAAAAATGCCTGAACAATTTATATGCTAAACTATAGACAAAATTTATAGGAAAGTATTAGATGTAAACTAGCTAAACAGACTACATAGACTTACAAATAAACCTAAATAATTCTTTTTAGCTTACATCATGAAATGGACTTAAGAATATCTTAGATCTTCATTTGTTATGATATTCATTATTTTCAATTTTTTAAGGAATCGAAAACGAAAGTTGAGTTTCTAACCAAATTATCACAAAAGTAATTCTAAATTAAAATACACGGAAAACTTACCTTTCTCTAGTTTAACTCTGCTTTTGTGAGACGCAATTTAGAGATTTAAGTGTGCTATTCTTCGCTCTACAATCTCAGACAACAAAAATAGCTTTTGTGAAGTATCTAAAAATAAACAAGGTATTTCAGACAATATGGAGTTGTGGGGTAACGTAATACTTAGCTGTCTGGAGCTTGCACCCGCGTAGCGCAATGCATGGTTAGAGTGTCTGCTCTCGATTCGCGAAGTAAGGAGTGAATCTTTATGTCGCGGGTATCAGTGTTTCACAAACACATTTTGTTTTATAAGGCTTTACTTTACAAACCACTTACACCCAATAGCGTAGTCTTAGATTTTATTATTATTATACCCCCCGCTTGAAAAGCGGGAGGGTATATAGTAATCGTTAATTCCGTCCGTCCCGTCTGTCTCCGTCCGTCCGTCTAGCTGTACGTCCGTCCGTCCGTCTGTTACGCTTTGGGGTACCCATCTCTTATCCGCAACTCCTCTTATACCACTGGATGAAATTTGATGAACCTTTCACAAAATCTTAATTACATATTGCCATTGTGCACCTCCTATTTTACTTTTTGATCCGACACATATTTTGGGTTTCCCATAGCAAAACATGGACATTGCCATTTATACACATATGGGAGGCGGGGGTATCATTTAGTGAGCTCATTGCTCACAGTACCTGCAGTTCCTTAATAATTTAATTCTGGTTGTAACGCTTTATTTGATTGTATGAAAAATTTACTTCATATCGTATAAAATGGGTTGCCTACGTCACGACTTGTGTCAAAAACGTATCAATCCGCCTGAAGTTACATTCAGATTTTGTACAAATTGAAGTCATTTTGTTAGAACAGTCGTCTTTTTTCTTATATCAAATGAATGAAAATTAAGTTATAAACAATGAATTTAATAGCTACCCATTTTATACGGTATAAACTGGGTTGAAACAGTTTACGCTTCGCGGGTTATAATGCATTAACGACGTTCGATCCTGATATTTAAAGTCTTAAACTTTTTTTGCCAAGTATATTTTTAGTTTGATCATACATAGCTTAATTAAAATTATCAAAAAACGGGGTTCAATACGCTTCTTTTGGCGCTACAGTACATTCAATATGACCTTCTTGCACTGAAATTTGTGTCTTAATTAAAAATTAAATTTTTGACGTTTTCCCTCCAATATTTTTATCCAATTAAGGCATGAAACAAAATGAACTCTAAGTTTGTTTAAAAAAGGACACATTAAAAATTGTGAAGAAAAAGTTTGACCTTATTTGCACTTTCTGAACTAATAAAAAGTGACTTTTCTGGCATTGAAAATTTAATAAGCAAGAAAATTATTTTAAAGTTTAAACTTTTTCTGATTTTAAGCAAATAGGTCAAATTTATCTTGAATATTTAGAAAAGAATATTAAAAGTGGGGGTATATGATGAAAATTTTTAGATATTACTGAAAAAGTGTCAATTTTAGGTTAAAATTGGCTCAATTTTTCCCCGGATTTTCAGAATATATTGATTATATTTGTCACACTTTGTTAATAGAATTCATAAGAAATAATTAATAAAATATTTCAGAACCAGCATCGCACATTTCATTGCAAAAAACAGCTTTGTGCGCAACCAGGATGGAAAAATAGGAATCTAAAATTAACAGTACTGTTACAGTTCAAAAAGGGAAAACTGATCATTTTCGTCTAAAAAACCTTCCGCCACAAAATATAGTTCCTAGCTTAATTCTACTTGAATGGTATTTAATCGCAGTTTTTTTCATTGGATATAGTTAAATTTGCACTGTAGAATTCAGATTTAATGTTAGAACTTAAAAATGATGCAGAATTTTATAAATAAAGGACCTGACCAAAATACTCTCAAAATCTCAGGATCGAACGTCCTTAACTGCCCCAACCCAATTTATACCGTATAAAATGGGTAGCTATTAAATGCATTACTTAAATAAAGATGATGCATAGGTATAAAAGAATTTCTTTTTGTGACGGAAAAATGCACTATTCAAAGTTTCAAAAAGCATATGGCAATTTATTGCGAACACATTAAACATTACGTAGATCTACATGTAAATATAAGGTTTTAAAGTTTGTCGCCTCAATGAAAAACCTTTTCATGCAGTTCAATTTCATCCTGTATGAAAATGTTTGCAATGAAAAGTTTACATTCAATTAATAGTGAGTTTTCCACTTATAAGTAAAACCATTCTTTTAAGAATTTCGAAAATTGTTAAATATGGGATAATGTTTTAACAAAAATATGTTAACAAATTAATTTCTCTTTTAAAAGTGCAAGGAAAAATTTTAAACTTTTTTTTTGAGGGGGGGGGGGGGGGGGGTTTAATTAAATATGAAAAAACTTTAAAGGAATTAGAATTAAAATTTCATATCAATGTTTAATGATGCAGTCGAAGAATTAATGTTTATATAGTATGCAGCTCATGTCCATCAATGGAGTGCTGTTACCGTAATATTGTTTCAGTTCAACATTTTATTACATAACACAAAGTGATGACGTAATGCACAAGTACACAAAAGGGTCAGACTAATTAACATACATAACATCCTAACATCTCCCTTCCTTTGATAATGAATGGCAATTACAATAAAAATTCATTTACAAGTTTAAACTTTAGACAATATCAATCAAAATGTTTCTGCTATGTAAACAAAACTTGAAACATAAAGCAATAGTATTTCTGCAATAAAGAAATAAAAACTAATACAGCATGCATGTACATTTTCACATGAAACTTTCTGCTTATGAAAAAGTTCAGTAAAATAATTGCAAAACAGAAATTATATTTTTCACAAATATCATATTCACAGAACATAGTCCTCGAGTTTCTTTGGTAACCTTGGAGCACGCGAACTTGTTCGGCGGTTAACTGGGCTGGCGGTAACAGTCTTTGGTTCACTCGGCTTTTGAGGAGTTGGTGTTTTGGTAACTTTAAGGTCATTCACTTGGGATTTTTCGGAAGTTACTGAGGGCGCATCAAGTGAATCCTCAAATTCTGGAATAAACGACGGAGTGGTGGCATCATATGGCTCGTTTGTTGCGCGAAGGTCTCTTCGGTTTCGTTGATATTGTTTATTTTTGATATCTACGATGTAAGAGCGATTTCCGATGTTATCCACACAAGTACCGTAACTCCATTTCTTTTCTGTATGATGTTTCATTCGGACTGGTTGACCAATTTCGAGTTCTGGTAGTTCCTTAGCAGATTTGTCGTAGTAGAATTTGGCCTTTTGTCGCTTGTACTTAACTTTATCCGCTACATCGTCCACAAGTTTGGGCTGGAGTAGTTCCGGCAATAAGGGTAAGGAATGTCGAGTCCTTCGTGACATGAGTCATTGTGACGGACTGCTGGCCATGTCCACTGTTGGGGTGTTCCTCCAATCTAAGACGCATTTCCACAGATCATCTCCGTTCTTCTTAGCCTTGCGCACCATGTTCTTTGCTATTTTCACTGTTGCTTCTGCTTTCCCGTTTGACTGACTATAATACGGGGAGGAGGTTACATGCTGAAACTCCCAATTACATGAAAAATCATGAAAGTCGGTTGATTTGAACTGCAGGCCGTTGTCGGTAATTACAACATCTGGTGTTCCGTGACGTGCGAAATGTTGTTTCAAGCAGTTGATTACTGTGGCTGCCGTGGTATCTGGAAGAAGGTCGAGCTCAAAGAAATCTGAGTAAAAATCAACTGTGACAAGGTAATCCTCAGTCTTTAGAGTAAAGATGTCAATTCCAAGTTTTGACCATGGCTGGTCTGGGACATCATGTGTCATTAACGGTTCTTTTTGTTGTTTCCGTTGAAACATGCTGCACTTGCTACACTTGCTGACAAAATCCTTGATCTCCTCATTCATGAGAGGCCAATACAGCGAATCCCTAGCTCTCCGTAGACAAGCCTCAATTCCTACGTGGCTGGAATGAGTGCGGCGTAGCAATTCTGGTCGAAGAGCTTTGGGAATTACAACGCGGCTGCTGTGGTAAATAATACCATCTTGCACTGTGAGAGAGTCTCTGACATTCCAATATGGTCGTATTGGAATAGGAACATCTTCCTTAGTATCAGGCCATCCTGAAAGTATCACTGTCTTTAGTGACTGGAGAGTCTCATCCTTGTTTGTCAAATCTCGGATTTGATTCAGTCTTGAGTCTGTGACCTTTCTAACCCACTCTGCCTGTTGGATGTGTGCTATCTCCTCAGCGAGTTTGGAAGTGTGCTGTCCATGATACTCTGGAGCAGGCTTGCGAGACAAGTAAAGTAATGCATTACATTACCTTTTCCTCTAGTATAAATTACATCCAGGTTGTATTTCTTAGGCGTAGTAACATTACCTGGAGTCTTTTTGGAGCTGACAAGAGAGGTTTACAAGATCGTCTCAAGAGGCTTTTTTTCGACTGTACTGTAATGCAATCCTTACATATGATGTAATGGTCAAATCTGTTTCATGCATATAACAATTGCAAGACACTGTGTGCGTAACATTTGTACAATATCCACTTGTTGTGAAACTAGAGACATGAAGCAATGGGCTGTCCATTTTGGGGTAATGTGGCTCCGAGCCCAACTATCTAATAGCATCGCATATAGGCTACATTGAATTGTGACTTCCTGATGTACATTATAGGATACATTTTGATCTCCTAAGCATAGAACAGGTTGAATGGATTTTTCATGGTATACAAGCCAGACGTCAATTAATGTTTTATAAACACAGTCTGAAAAGGGACTGGTAATTTGGAGCATTTCTGGCATCCTAACCCAGAGTCTTGTGTTTTTGGAGACGTCGCAAAGGTTTAGTCATCAGTTTCCTTTAGGTGAGGTAAGAATCGAGAATTTTTTTAAAAAGTCTTTTAAACCAATATAAGCGTTGAAATCACTTCTTTCACATTTTCAGGTCTTTTCATGTTTGTAATGGCACTAACTTTGTCCGGATCAAATAGGTTAAACTTTTTGATAAGTATACTTTGCAAAAAATGTAAAATTAAAAATGACTTTCCATCATCCATGTCCATTTTAATTCCTTAAAATATATCTTACAAAAATAATGAATGCTACCTCACGAGCTCTTTTTATGAAGTAATGCAAGTTACCATTACATGTAATGCAAAATGTTGATTACACAGTATGTCAACAGCCGTTGACTATGATGTCATCCATCACACATGCATTACCATTACAATTAGCATTACCCCAAGCCTGCTCTGGAGTCGCGCGAGACAAGGTTCGTGAACAACTCTTTTCCTCTAGTATAAACAACATCCAGGTTGTATTTCTGGAGGCGAAACATTCGCGAAGGGTAAAGCAGAGGTTTCTGAATCGTTTCAAGAGGGGTCCAGACTGTACTGTAATGAAATCCTGCTATATATGTAATGGTCAAATCTTGATGCAAAAACGATTGCCAGAATCTTTCTTTTGCATAACACTGTTCAGGACAGAGAATAAGCAATGGGCTGTCCATTTTGCAAATGTGGCTCGGGCCAACTTCACGCATCGCACTGAATTGTGACTTCCTGATGTACATTATAGTATTTGAGTACGGTTGATAGCGTTTGTTCAAGTCTCTGCTGCAATTGCCAAGACCATATGGCTCCTTTGTCTGTGAGCGTTTCCAGGTTTCCGATAGGTGAGGTAAGAATCACTATGTTGCTAGACCAATAAAGCGTTGCACTGCTTTCACATTTACAGGTCTTTTCATGTTTGTAATGGCACTAACTTTGTCCGGATCAGGGCGGATGCCTACTGCCGTAAGTATACTGCCCATGTATTTGACTTCAGTCTGACGAAGTTTGAACTTGTCCTTATTAAGTTTTAGTCCCACCTCACGAGCTCTTTGTAGAACTGCCGTCAAGTTGCGGTCATTGTCTCGAATTGCTGATTCCATGGTCTGTCCACGGCCGTAGACTATGATGTCATCCATAACACATTCTGCTCCAGATAGTCCTTCCAACACTTCGTGTTGCCTGCGCTGGAATTCCTCAGGTGCTGATGAAATTCCGAATGGTAAACGCAACCATCTATACCGACCAAAAGGGGTCCAGAACGTAGTAAGGAAACTGCTTGATTCATCTAATTTGATGTGCCAGAATCCTTCTTTTGCATCAAGGACGGAGAATACTTTTGCATTCGCAAGATTCGGTAATATGTCCTCAAGGGTAGGCATGATATAGTGCGGTCGCTTGATAGCTTTGTTCAAGTCTCTGGGATCAATACATATGCGTAGCTTACCAGGTTTTTTCACTGTTAGCATACTACTTATCCAGTCTGTAGGGGTAGTAACTTTCTTGATCACACCTCTGTTCTCGAGATCCTTCAGCTTCGTGTGAATTTCCTGCTTCATGGCTTGATGAACTTTTCTTGGTTGATGCTGAACTGGCTTTACAGTCGGATCAATTTCAATCTTGTACTCGCCTGAGAAAGATCCTAGTCCCTCGAATACATCATGGTACATGTATGTGGTCAACAGCTGACTGCGCGTCAGTGGTTCAAAGTTCTTCTCAGCTGATGTATCGACACTGTTCACAATATTCACAGTTAACAGTCCTAACTTTTCACATGCTTCAGCCGAGAGCAGTGCGGTTTGATCTGTATCCACCACATAAAAGTTCAGACATTCTGTGTTGCTTTGTACTGAGCATGTAATGTCAACAGTACCCAAGGGCTCAAGCTTTGATGTTCCACCATAAAGTCGTAGAGCCTTGCTGGTTGATTTCAATGGCGGACAACCATTTTGGGTAAGAATACAGTATTGCCGAAATCCAAGAATATTACAAGTTGATCCTGAGTCCAGTTGACAGATTACATCTTGACGAGTTGCATCGTCAATCACCATGTTGACTTTAGTAAACCATTGTTTACCATGTGTCGTCTTCACTGTGTAACAAGATTCACAATCACTACTGTCATCAGTTTCATCAAGCTGAAGAACAGTCATGCTAGCACTCTGACACACTGAAGCGAAATTATTTTTCTTTTTGCACTTGTTGCACGTCTGTCCATAAGCCGGACACTTGTTTCTTCCTCTTGCATCTTTCCACCGCAGTATTTACATTTGGAATCTCCTTTGCTTGGGTATTTTGGTGGCTTTGTTGAAGACTTTTTCTGCTGCTTCATATCCTTCATGTGCTTCTTATTTCCTCTTGCTGCGTAGTTGACTTGAGCTGTATTATTGTTATTAGTGTCACTCTGTCCTTGTCCTTGTAGTTTCTTAAGCTGACTGGAAGTTCTCTCACTGGTCCTACACATGTCTATGGCGCTGTTAAGTGTGAGCTTAGATTCTCTGAGCAATCGTCCACGAACACTTTGGTCCTTGGTTCCCAGTACTATCCTGTCGCGTATCATTTGGTCCATAATATCACCAAATTCACATATCTTCGCAAGTTCTCGTAGTCTGCACAAGTAATCGTCAAACGATTCATTAGGCATCCAGTCTGCCGTATTAAAGATATATCGTTCATAGATCACATTTGTTTTGGGCATGAAATGACCATCTAATGCTTCTAGAATTTTGTCAATATCTTCTCTGTCTTGAACACTGAGTGGTAAGTTTTCATATATTTGGAAACAGTCTTTACCCATCACTGTCAGTATTGTTGCTATCCGAATAGGCTGCTCCTTCTTGACAAGGCCTGTGGCAATTTCATAATTGGCCCACTGTGATTTGAAAAATTTCCAGTTGCCCCTGATGTCACCTTTCACTACCATAGCGGCTGGTTCAGGTAAGTCTTTAGAGGCCATTGTTCTACGAGTATGAACAGTTCCGTGGCTTTTTATGGCAAAAAATGTATGTGTATCAAAGGTACGTCTCATATATTAATGTAGATTAATGTTGCGTAAATGTTTCATACAATTAATGTAACACAATGTCAATTCTACACCATAACAGAAGTATGCGCATTCTTGAGTAGAAAAAAAAATGGCGGCGTGCCAACTACGTGTGATGCTGGGACGTTTTACTTCAGCGAGCAAAAGTGAAAAAAATACAAAGGATTATACCCGATATCTTGGCTTTGGTTTCTCACAAGTCGTATGGAATTTGTCCCTGCACTCGCCAGTATTCAGGTGTCGTGGCGTATTGCTGAGAGCTTCACTTCTGACATCTTGTTTCAGTTCAACATCATAAAGTGATGACGTTGGCAAGTTAAGACTTTAACATACTTAACATCCTAACACATATAATATTTAAAACCTGTACAAAGGATAAAGTTGACCTACTGTAAATGAGTACACATCTTCTCCCTGTTTTAACTTTATATAAGGTTAAAAATATAATATATATTGTCAGTGTTTTAGACAGTTTTAATCGGCATATACTCTGATCCTTTCTGGAATGTCGTGGCGTATTCTTTTGCTGAGAGCTCGATTTTTTCCTTTTAAAAGTTATATGCGCCGCTTACCTGTTGAATTACGAATCCCAATCTCTCCAGAAAATTCTTACGTAATGATAAAAATCCTCAGGTATAAACTTTTCATCCATCTTATATTTTGAATCAATTATTTTCTCTCCAATTTCGCTCGTTTTAACGTCTAATCACGGAAGTCCATCTGGAATTCCAACATCCGAAACCCAAGGCGGACGGACAGAAAATTAAATTACAGTTCTGAAAATCGCAAGGATCAGAGTATATGCCAATTAAAAAACCGTCTAAAACTTCTTATATAATCACTGATAATATATAATATTTTTAACCTGTATCTAATCAAAGGTATATATACTAGTACATGTAGTCGGAAAGGGGGGGGGGGTCCAAATCTAAATACACTTGTGTTTCAGGTTAAACATTATTATTGTTCGTTTAAGTTGTCACGCATTGATTTCGATTAATAAACACTGTTGAACAATAAGACGCTCCCCATTCCGTCTATCAATTAAACTTTAATTTCCTTTGATTGAGGATACAGGTTAAAAATATTATATATTGTCAGTGATAATATAAGGATTTTTATCATTACATAAGAATTTTCTGGAGAGATGGGGGTTCGTAAATCAGCTGGTAAGCGGCGCATATAACTTTTAAGAGGAAAAAATTGAGTCTGGGGCACGGAAAGGGGCAAATGAAGTTGCAAGCCTTGTTTCTTTTCAGTATACAGTGGGATACGTCAATTTTAAAGCGTGCATAAAATCAAATTTCCGTGACATTCTGGTGTATATGAAGCAGAAAGGTTTACACAAAACTAAAAATTAACACTGTGCTCTGAAAAAAAATGTTACGAGAATAGTTCGAATTTCCTCGACAATAATTATATAGAAAATATACAGTATCCTTGACCCAAGTGCCTATGGGTTGAATAAGCAAATTGATGTTTATTGTTCTTGGCATCCAGATCCAGATGCCCGTTATGTTAATGCATTTAGTTTTTCATGGGCAAACATTTATGGTTATCTTAATCCTCCTTTCAGCCTCATTGGACGTGTTGTGAGGAAGATTTGTCAGGACCAAGCAGAGTGTGTACTGGTGGCTCCAGTGTGGCCAACACAGCCATGCATGGTTCAATCGTGTGTTAGAAAAACTGGTGGATCATCCGGTGATTTTACCTGTGATGGACAATCTGTTGACACTTTCAGGCACAGATGTGCAGCATCCTCTGAAAGACTCGTTAGTGCTGATGGCATGTCGATTGTCCGGTTGCAGTACCAAAACGAGGAATTTCTCATCAAGCAGCCTCGATACTTTTGGCATCATGGAAGTCGGGAACCAAGATACAATATAAAACATTTTATACGAGATGGTTTCAGTACTGTAGTGAAAAATGGATTGATCCATTTTGTACAACTATAGAAACTGTTATTGAATTTTTAGCACATCTTTTTCGCCTGGGTTTAGGGTATAGTGCTATTAATACTGCCCGTGGGGCTTTATCTTCTGTTGGACTGATTCTTGATGGGTTTACTGTTGGATGTCATCCACTTGTTATACGATTTATGAAGGGTGTTTTAAATTTGAGACCATCAAAATCTCGATATGTACATACTTGGGATGCATCTATTGTTATCAAGTATTTGAGAAAATTGTCACCTGTAAAATACTTAAGTTTGAAAGATTTGACACTGAAGTTAGTTATGTTAATTAGTTTAACTTGTGCAAGTCGAGTACAAACTATTTCATGCATGAAAATTGGTAATATGACGAGAAGAAAAAATAGCTTTGTTTTTACTTTTAGTGATTTATTGAAAACATGTAGACCTAACAGTATAAATTTAACAACAGAATATACAAAAAACAAAAAAAATTAGACCCTCTTCAAACCTTCAGTAATGTAAATGAGAACACGTATGGTTTTATTTCAAGGAAATAACATTCAGTTCAGTGGTTACATATCCTCAATTCAGTCAAGTTTATAGTAGATAAAACTTGTCAAAACAGACATTGCAAATGCTGCAAATAGATCCCTGTTGTAATGAATCATTTGATTCTAGCATGCATTTTATTTTTAATAACACCAGGTGTCATTTTCTGAGGATTTTTCTTCAGGTTTGCAAACTGCAGATATTGTTGACGCATCTCAGTTATCATTCCAGATTCTGAGTCATCTAGAATATGATAGATTTTTTGTTCTAGATTTCAAAAATTCAATTTGATAAGCAATGTCAGGGGAAAAAAAACTTTTTCTACTTTTATTTACTGATCAATAACATTTTAGTAAGAGAATGTTTTTACAATAGAGTTAAAATTTCCTTCTTCAAAATCAAGGTGACTGAATTATTTACTTCTTATGTATATTGCTCTTTTCTGTAAAATCAATAGTGTCAGTTTGAAATGAAAAGGCATAAAAAACACTCTTCAAGGTTAAACCAGGAAGTAATGTCATTCAACCCCACAAAATCTAAGATCCATGCCTTGCACACATTTAGCTCTCCAACTAATGGCTCTCCTGAGGATATTGCTGCCTTTATTCACAGTCATGTAATTCTAAGTAACTTAATGGCAGCTTTCTAATTAAGTAATCAGAGTGAGGAAGTCCTGTATTAACACTGTCTGTTGGCTCAGTGAGGTGATCAGAGAGGGGGGTGCCCTGTGATGGAGCCTGTTTTGTACTGTGGCAGTGACCCCCGTTAGCAGCTGTTAGGGAGGGTTATCTGTATCAATCTCTGAGTAATATCTCCCCTATTTCTTTTCACAGGCATTGGTGTAGGACCTTATCTTACAACACAAACAAAGCTTTTGATGTGAAAACTTTGAGCAGAGGCAAGCTGCTATTTTAAATTAGAAATTAAACGGTTTTTGTGAGGTAAAGTATTGATTTATGTGTTCATGTTGTATATGCACTGTTTACAAATATTTTATAATCAATATTTTGTCATAAAATTTTCTGTATTGTGTATATTATAGATACATGTATTTGCATGCACTCTGTGTTTAGATGTTCAGTGTAATTAAGATAAATTACTTTATGATGTTTATCACCAGAAGAATGTAGATTATTTATTACTCTTGGGCTTTGCCAAGTACATGTATGTGTTGGATATAAATATGTAACATGGTAATTGCTATACCTATAGGTTAACAGTCATGACATTTCATTTATCAGTGTATATATTGTGTAGACATTAATAGCTTCTTTCATTTTTTGCAAATCTCTTGTTCAAGGCTTATAACTTATATTACTGATTTTCTTTATTTCAGACAGTTCATTACCAATGACTTTATGACACAGATTCAATGGGGGCATGTTATTCAAAGTCAGGTCATGATGTAGACAATGCCAAGAAGAAGTCCCCACATAGCAAGAAGCACAAGAATGGAATCGCTGTGACCATTGAATATAGTCCTGTCAGATCACCCAATCATGATGAAGATAGACTGTCTATTTATGATAATGAAAGTGAGAAAGAGGACAAAATTGTCAAAGAATCAAATGGAAATGTTGAAGGACAGTGCTGTTCAAAAGTGGTCAAGGACAAAGAAAAGGTTGTTTCTGGTGAAGAGGGTAAAGATAGTGAGAAATGTGACCTAGTGACCTCAAAAGAGAGTTCAGATGAGGTCATAACCTCAGATTCAAAAGTGACAGAGAAGGTTGTGTCAGCATCAGATAGTGGGATAGAGAGTCTGCCAGCTCAGGAATCGTGTCACTCTAGTCAAACATTTTGTGATAAAACCAAGCCATATCAAAACAGTGACGAGGACAAAACGATAGCTAACCCCAAAAACGAGACACATGACATTCACGGTGAGTTTACTGCTCAATCAAGGAGCAGGCCTTATCGTTTTTCTGATATTATCTATCTCAAGTCCAGTCTAAAGAAACCAGGGAGAGCCTCTGGTAGACACAGTCGACTGTCCTGTAAGTCTACGGACAGTCTAGACTGGACGGCTACACTGATCAATAGCCTGGACCGATGTCGAAGTGAGGCCTCAGAATTTTTTTGTGAAGACTTTAACATATCAGCTCCTCTTGCTGCATTTGATTCTGTAGATTTTATGAGCAGTGCAGGGTCTCTGTTGAGGAACAGATTAAGTAGAGCTAGCATTGTTGACCATAATAATGATACATTTCAATTTCAATTTGATTTTTCTGGAATAGAAGCCGAAGAAGTTGAGGCGAGCTCAGTTCCGATAACCTCAGAATCGCTACCATGCTCGCCTATTCGTCAAAATACGGTCAGTCCAGATGGTGTGAATCTGGAACTGGCCGGCTCGAAAAGAGCCTCGCAGGAGCTCAGGTAAGTCCAACAGGTAATTACAAGGCAGGGATCCAAAGTCTTCACAGATTGGGTGGTGGTAAAATTAGACTTCATGGTTGAAGATTCCATTAACCACAAACTGAAACTCCAGTAGGTTTATATCTTGTTTGAATAACATTTTTTTCCAATAAATAATAAAAGGTGAAACTTATCAATGAAAATATTTTCTTCTGCATGTTTTAAATGTACAGGAGAAATAGGTACCCCCAGTACATGACTGTAGCATTTAATTTTTTGTAAACTGGGCACTCTACCCTAATCAGTAATCATTGAATTGGGTCCTGATGTACTTTTAGATATAAATGTTATATCATCTTGAAAGAATACTTAACAGCTATTCATTTTCTGCATCAATGGACATTGCCATTTTTCTTCAAAGAAGACTTTGCATTCATGTCATTGGCAGCCAGAATTTCCTCTGATATGTTGTCTATCCTGCACAGCTTTATAACTCATATCTTTTACTTTTCATTCTTTCAAGTTTGATTAAATCTGTAATATATACTTTTTTCCTTAGAAGTACCTGTAACATTTCAAATTTGAAGTCACTTTTCGATTTGATTTTTGAATATTGAATATTTCATGGAAAATTATTAATTTTGAAAATAAGTTAACAGGATTGCAATGGTGTTTAAAGTCTTAAAGTATGATTACAAAGTTAAATTATCGACCAGTATGTCATTATGAACCATTTATGATAGCTTTATATGTACAACTAAAAAGAAAACTGGATATGTGTACCTGTGTGCTATATAGCTTTAATCATTGTAAACAGCTGCCATTTTATCGAACACCATGATGAATCGTGGCTTTATAGTACTTTACAATCTCTTAAAACTTTTCTTATATATATATGTATGGTCATAAGTCCTTTTATATCCATATAACAGTATTATAAATACAGTGCTTCTTTTCTATTCATTTACTACATAACTATTTTTTTTAAAGACAAGTAAGTTTCATGAAGTTCTTTGGACATTTTATGTAAATATTGAACATTTCTGTTGTTAATTTTAAAAAGTACCAGGTATAAATTCGTTTTAATATATTCCTATATTGAGAGGTATGCTGGAAGATACACCTGGTATCAGTATTGATGTATACATTAAAGTTATAAGTACAGATGGGGAATTTACAATATGTTCACTATGGTGCTTATAGCAGACAGTGATGTTGTATGGTTTACCTGTGTCAGCTTCCATTATACCAGACAACTTGTTGTACCATGTTGTGCTATTTTTAAATAATAAGGTTTTTTTGTCATTGGCTCTTTGACAAAATCCAGCTAAGCCTATACATTGTTGTTTGGTCTTAGAGAAATTATAAAGTTTTGAATCAAGATTTTATTAATGGTAGAAACTTTAATTATTTTAGAGCACTTTTTTTCTTTGAAATAATTTAAATATTTGGTTCAATGGATTAATTATTTTAAAGATTTCTAAAATATTTTTTTTCTTTTTTAACAAATATTGCACAAGTCACAAGCTTTGGTCATGTACACACTGTCACAGGGATTAAATGGCATCAATTTATCATGATTTTATGTATAGTAATGATGAATTGAATTTTGACATGCTAACCTTAGCCATGCAACAGCTCCTGTAGGCAGTATTGATTAAGTTTTCATTAAATGGAACAAATAGATAATCAATATCTTCTGTAATGTATACAACAGCCTTTTAGACCTGTGGTTGTATAATGCATAGTGATGATAATTAATATTCTACAACATTGATAGTGCTTAAAATTCTTAGATAAACATATCCAAGTACATTTTTTCCCCTAATTTTCACATAGTTTCCTGTACTTGATACTACTATAGTATCCTAACAAAGTCCATTTTCTAAGAAATATAGAGCTAGTTAGCTCTACAAGTCTTGAACCACCTTGCAGAGCATGATGGAAAAATAAAATTCACTTTGTCTATCTGTCTGTGAATCAATATTATCAAAAAGATGACAAAGTCCTCACAAAACACTAGTTTTTCTATAGCTTCTTATTCTGCTTTGTTTTCTGTGCTTAGGCCGAAGTCCATCATGAAAGTGTAAGTAAAAAGGAAATCCTATGCATCATGGGAATGTCATTGCCCAATCCCTATACCCAGCTTTAAGAATGAAATATTTAGATTTTATGCAACATCCAACTAGTACCTGTTTAATTAAGTCTACATATTATTCAAAACTTGTGCTTGAAATGTAGTGTGATATACAGTACAAAAAGCATAGTTTAGGAAGAGAAACCAGCATGTAAAGAAATATGGTATAAATGCATGGTTTCCCAAGTTAAGTTTTTATGTTCTGTTACAGTTTTAGTGTCATTATTGAAACATGTATCATGATTTTGTTTCCAGAAAAGGAATATGTTCCTTCAGCAAATCCAGCATTAAAGAAGTCAAAATTTCCTCATATTGAAATCAATATTTTTGCAAAGAAACTATCAACAATTGAACACCCTTGGTTTCTAGTAATTATGTAATGATTATGATAGAAATAAATACCCCTATTAGTGATTTATAGTTTTTGATACCCCACCACATTCTTATTCACTAGCATCATCAGTCTTATTCATTGTTTAGTTGGATTTGACACATTTATGTATGGTACTCTTTTTAAATTGATAGGTCTTTCACATTTATTTAGATAAGTTGATAAACAATTGATTCTTTTCACTTTTTGGGGGAGGGTGGGGAGTTCTTGATTGCACTAGCACAGTTTATCTTGTGTTTTACCCAGAAACATTTGGTTTTATTTCAGCATAAAAAATTTAATGTTGTGTTTTTTGCCTCTAACATAAATGCATGTGTTTGATGGTTGAACACCAGAATGAGTGGTTGATGCATGGTTACACATTTTAACAGAGACTTGAGAGTTTTCTTTTTCTGCACACTTTGTCATTTCATTTCTTTCTGAAACATGCAAGTATTTGAGATCTCAATCTTATTTCTCATGAAATACCAGTATGTTCCTATAAAAACGACAATGTATGATGAACGTACATTTTTCTAAACCATAAAGTTGTGAATTAATGGAGTTTTTGTTCACATAATATTCAATGCATAGTGAATAGTGATCTTACTTTTACAGAAGATTCGATTCAGAGGCTAGTTTAGAGTTGACCTCTACATTTCCAAGGTTAGAGGAAGTGAAGACCATGCAGATAGATGGGAAGGATGTGGTGGTCATTGATGTGGAAACTTATGCACATATCATGGAGGAGTTGGCCATGCTCAAGATGAAGCTCAGTCAGCTAACAGACTTCTTACAGGTCGGGAAATTTATATGGTGGCAAGACGGAAATTGAATATGTTTTGGACCTCCTTTACAATGAAAGATGTCCAAATTTGCTTTTAAAACTTGATTTTTTTTAAAATATGCTTTATTACATACTGACTGATAATGAAAGAATCAACTTCTTGATAGAAAAAATGTTTATTTTATTTGTGGAAATGCACTTATCTGTTTGTCCATCTGTCTGTGCTATCTTGTCTGCCATATAATCAATGAAGTCTAAATGGAGAGACCACACAGATTTCTTTTGAAATGATTTTGTCATGAACTTGACCCAAGTTCATTTTGGAAAGTTGAGGTCACATATAGAAAACATTTTTGTGTCTGGTGCATAACTTTCCATTGAAGGTACTTAGAAAGTTGTGTATCATGATCTTGACCCAAGTTCATTGGGCAAGTTCAAGGTAGTAAAAATGTAAAACCGTATTCACTATTGAATGCAACAATTTAAAAGAATTTGTCATGTAGATATATTTTGAGAAGTCTCTTACTGTAAGCCTGTAGTTTAAATATTTATAAAATTACATTTCATTTGTGTATTCTCAGAATTAACATTACAGGAACAAGACTTGCTCCAGCTGGATTCTTCAAAAGAGAGAGCTGATATATCAAGTTTGAGCCAGTCTATAGAAGACTTAATGGACACAGCTTCTGTGAAGAAAACTTAACAAGTAATATTTCAATGAAATTCTATATATGAACATATTAAATTAGTACTGCTCATTATTATGTATGTATGTAGTTTTGTGACATCAGATTAGGGAAGAAAGATTTCTATATTATAAAGAAATTTATAAAAAAAAAAAAAAAAAAAAAAAAAGATAAGTAGTACATAAGGAATTTTGATTAAATTTAACCATTTTTTGTAGCTGTGTAATTCTTTGAGAGAAAAGTCATTCCATTGTAAACCTCATAAATCATTCAGCATCATACAGCTTGGAGAAGAAAGGATCCGTCCTATAAAAGTGCTAATGGACGGCTGAAAGTCTCCATCATTGGTTCAGATCTGTCTGTATTCATTTCAGTTTTGGTTTGATACAGATAGGATGCTTTTGTACTTAATGAGCATAAGGCCATATCCTTGTATTATGTTAACAAAGACTTATTTTTTTGTGTTCGATTCTGAATTTCATTCATCAGAATGAAAGTCTGCAATTTTATTTTTATACTTTTTTTTTAACTTTTAGAAACAAAAAAGGAAACACAAATAATATCACATAAGTTCATAAAGCAGCTGATTTGATTTTATTTTTTTATTTAATATTTATTCTATTTTATCTTATCAAAGAATGTGGCTAAGAATACTTTTTCATTCATTTCTAAGAAAAAAAAAATTACTCTGTACTGTCTTTTCTGTACATGTGCATCATTTTAGTTGGGATTTTGAGAGAAATATGAGAACAGAACATAGTTCATAAACTTATCAATAGGTTGGTTCAGTGTATGTGCACTTGATTAAGGTTGTAGAAGGGGAAACTAGAATCAGTGCTGTGATTTATTTTTAATAAAAAAAAATGTACATGTATATTTTGTTGTCATGTCAAATAAAGGAGTTTATACATGGCTTGGAAGCTATCAAAACTCTAAAACACTTTTTTTTTTGAGAGTGAATAAAAAGAGAATTTTTATATGATTTCAAGTACATGTAATACCCAGTATATGACTTAATGATTTTTAGCTTTAAGAGAATTAAACAACAATCATGGCAAGCATTCCTAATTGACTAAGGTCTTCTTAGCTTTACCTTTTTAAGCTTTCTTTATGTAATATGCATCATAAAATGTAAAAAGGGTAAAACTTCAAGTGTTATTGAACCAAAAATCAAGATCTTGGCTTAGTACTTGTTGTAGTTAGCAGTTCAGGTACATGTAGTTAGTCAACACTAAAGTTAGATCTAGTCATACACGATATAAAGAGAAATGTGTCTGAAAAATTTATTTTCATTTACATGATTAAATGCATTAATGAATAAACTTTGATTTATCAAATTTATTACACAAAATAAGATGCTGTATTTTTGCATCGAAAACGCATCTAGGGGGAGGTAACTCTCCATGTAACCTCCTCAATGTTTATAAACATCACGTACTTGAAGGTAAAAAAGAAGTAGTAATTTATCTGTTTTAGCATTGTTATTTATCAATTTGTACAAAACAAAGAAAAGCTGGAGACCAACACCTTGAGGTTAAAATTGTGGAAGATTCTCAATTCTTTATCAAAATAATTCTTTATCAATTTGTGTTTGAACATGTGAAAATTAGCTTTTTTTTCTCTTTGCGTAGTTGAAGTGTGAAATTGGTGCATACCTCTCTTTCAAACGCAATTTCTTCATGTGTTCATAATGATAGTACAGGTTTCATATACATGTACTAAATTATTTTTTGTTCACTGTTTTGTCCTAACATTGTAGTACACCTTTTGTTAGTAATGATCATGCATTATAAATTTAAAACAGAAACTTTCTAACAAACTAAATAATGAGTAAACAAGTGATACAATGTACATGTACATGTACATATGGAAACAATGACACTACCATTAGAATTGCAATACAGTTTCGCATTTTTTATATAAGTGTATCAAATGAAATACAAGAAAAAAATTATTTTTCTTATGCTAAAATACTTTATTTCTTCTGACAAACCATAATTTTGCTTCATTTATTTCATAAAATTTATACAATGTACCACTGAAGATTAAAGTTTTAAAATTTGAACAAAGAAATGTTTATGGAGACTGAAAATAATATGATGAATTTTTTAAAACTTTTTTAAGGATAATTAAGGAGTCAGATAATTTTATATGTTTTCAGATTTATTCAAAATGTAGTGTACAGATTAAAATCACTGACTTGACAGTAATTATAAAATAACATACATACGTCATGTATCTTCTTTCCCAAAGATGCCAAAATATGACACAGAAAGGTTAAGGATGTGTACAGTGTATAGATTTTAGTGAAATACCCCTGTACTAGAATGAAGCTGTAAGTCATTGATTGGTATCAATTCATTCTATGGCTGTTATTTTTGAAGATTTCTTACAAAATTAACCCAACTACCCCTTAAAGTCATCTTTTGTGAAGATGTGATCACTTATTTAGTGCATTATAATCACAAATGATTAATGATATTTTTAATTAATTTCTATCTTGTTTATTTTTAGCTCTACTGGTCAGAGACCAGAAGAGCTTATGCGATAGTAATGCGTCCGTCGTCCGTCCGTCCGTCTGTCTGTCTGTCTGTCTGTCTGTCTGTAAACAATTTTTCAAAATGCTACTCCTCCTACAGTTTTGGTCCGATTTCAATATAACTTGGCACACAAGTAGACTACACTAAGATACATAATTTTGTGCATCGGTTTTTGATTTCGATGAACAGTGTTGCCGTGGTTACTAAAAATAGAAATTTCTGTGAAATTCTTTCAAAATGCTACTCCTCCTACAGTTTTGGTCTGATTTCAATATAACTTGGCACAAAAGTAGACTACACTAAGATACATAATTCTTTGCATCGGTTTTTGATTTCGATGAACGGTGTTGCCGTGGTTACTAAAAATAGAAATTTCTTTGAAATTCTTTCAAAATGCTACTCCTCCTACAGTTTTGGTCCAATTTCAATATTACTTGGCACACAAGTAGACTACACTAAAATACATAATTCTGTGCATCGGTTTTTGATTTCGATTAGCGGTGTTGCCGTGGTTACTAAAATTAGAAATTTCTTTGAAATTCTTTCAAAATGCTACTCCTCCTACAGTTTTGGTCCAATTTCAATATTACTTGGCACACAAGTAGACTACACTAAAATACATAATTCTGTGCATCGGTTTTTGATTTCGATGAACGGTGTTGCCGTGGTTACTAAAATTAGAAATTTCTTTGAAATTCTTTCAAAATGCTACTCCTCCTACAGTTTTGGTCCGATTTCAGTATAACTTGGCACACAAGTAGACTACACTAAGATACATAATTCTGTGCATCTGTTTTCGATTTTGATAAACGGTGTTGCCGTGGTTACTAAAAATAGAAATTTCTTTGAAATTCTTTCAAAATGCTACTCCTCCTACAGTTTTGGTCCAATTTTATTATAACTTGGCACACAAGTAGACTGTTCACTAAGATACATAATTCTGTGCATCGGATTTTGATTTCGATGAACGGTGTTGCCTTGGTTACTAAAAATAGAAATTTCTTTGAAATTCTTTCAAAATGCTACTCCTCCTACAGATTTGGTCCGATTTCAGTATAACTTGGCACACAAGTAGACTACACTAAGATACATAATTCTGTGCATCGGTTTTTGATTTCGATAAACGGTGTTGCCGTGGTTACTAAAAATAGAAATTTCTGTGAAATTCTTTCAAAATGCTACTCCTCCTACAGTTTTGGTCTGATTTTGATATAACTTGGCATACAAGTAGACTACACTAAGATACATAATTCTTTGCATCGGTTTTTGATTTCAATGAACAATGTTGCCATGGTTACTAAAAATAGAAATTTCTGTGAAATTCTTTCAAAATGCTACTCCTCCTGCAGTTTTGGTCTGATTTCAGTATAACTTGGCACACAAGTAGACTATACTAAGATACATAATTCTGTGCATTGGTTTTTATTTTGATGAGTGGCAAGGATCATTTTTAGCTCTACTGGTCAGAGACCAGAAGAGCTTATGCGATAGTAATGCGTCCGGCGTCCGTCCGTCTGTCCGTCTGTCTGTCCGTCTGTCCGTCTGTCTGTAAACAATTTTTCAAAATGCTACTCCTCCTACAGTTTTGGTCTAATTTCAATATAACTTGGCACACAAGTAGACTACACTAAGATACATAATTCTGTGTATCGGTTTTTGATTTCGATGAACGGCGTTGCCGTGGTTACTAAAAATAGAAATTTCTGTGAAATTCTTTCAAAATGCTACTCCTCCTACAGTTTTGGTCTGATTTCAGTATAACTTGGCATACTAGTAGACTACACTAAGATACATAATTCTGTATATCGGTTTTTGATTTCGATGAACGGTGTTGCCGTGGTTACTAAAAATAGAAATTTCTGTGAAATTCTTTCAAAATGCTACTCCTCCTACAGTTTTGATCCGATTTCAGTATAAGTTGGCAAACAAGTAGACTACACTAAGATACATAATTCTGTGTATCGGTTTTTGATTTCGATGAATGGTGTTGCCGTGGTTACTAAAAATAGAAATTTCTGTGAAATTCTTTCAAAATGCTACTCCTCCTACAGTTTTGGTCTAATTTCAATATAACTTGGCACACAAGTAGACTACACTAAGATACATAATTCTGTGTATCGGTTTTTGATTTCGATAAACGGCGTTGCCGTGGTTACTAAAAATAGAAATTTCTGTGAAATTCTTTCAAAATGCTACTCCTCCTACAGTTTTGGTCTGATTTCAGTATAACTTGGCAAACAAGTAGAATACACCAAGATACATAATTCTGTGTATCTGTTTTTGATTTCGATGAATGGTGTTGTCGTGGTTACTAAAAATAGAAATATCTGTAAAATTGTTTCAAAATGCTACTCCTCCTACAGTTTTGGTCTGATTTCAATATAACTTGGCACACAAGTAGAATACACTAAGATACATAATTCTGTGTATTTTTGATGAATGGTGTTGCCGTGGTTACTAAAAATAGAAATGTCTGTAAAATTGTTTCAAAATGCTACTCCTCCTACAGTTTTGGTCTGATTTCAGTATAACTTGGCACACAAGTAAACTACACTAAGAACATAAAGAGACTTTATCAACGATCATTATTCTATTTGATGCTGTTTATAAAGTTTCAAATCCCAGCTGCTTAAGTACTTTCTCTTCCTTTGCTATAAGTTCAAACCAGTAGAGCTTCAGTCTCGACAGAGACTTCTGGTTCTATTTATTGCTGATTTAAAGTCTCAAGTCCCAACTGCTACTTTTCTCTTCCTTTGTTTTAAGTATAAACCAGTAGAGCTACAGTCTCGACAGAGACTTCTGGTTTAATTATTTATGTTAACAAATTACATTAAATTACTTGATAGATTAAATCAATCACTGAGGTATTAAAAAAACACAGTACAAGGATTATAGAAAGGGGTACTGTGTTTAAAAAAATGAAGTTACAACTTCAGTGTCTGTCAGCCTTTTGTTGACATTGGGCAGAAAAATTATTATATGAGCTTTTTAAAAAAATATGTTTTATTTTGGAATAGATGAAATAAATTATTGTTTTAGTTTTAATGAGTTTGTTTTTTTGTAACAATGGCACTTCTTCCACATAAGTTTCGGCATTTTCAAGCCCAGTGGTTCTTGAAGAGATTTTTTTAAATATATTTTTATCTTTTTTATTACCTACCAAAGGGGAGTTTGGTCTTTCTTTTAAAATTTAAACTCTCCTTCCAAGGATTTTTTATACCAACTTTGGTCAAATTTGCCTTGTTGTTCTTGAGAAGAAGTTGAAAATGTGAAATGTTTACCATGAGACAGAAAACAGGTCTGATGTCTATTAACTGAGAACAGACAAGTCAAATTTATCATTTTTTGATATCTTGAGCTCTATGTAACATATGTGCATAAAAATTTGCAAATTTTTGTAATAAACAAATTCACACGTTGAAAAATTGTATCATCATCAAAACCGTTTCAAATTTACATGTTCCAGTAGAATTACAATTTAGACTCAACCTAATGTTCTCAGTTTATTGCCTTGAAGCTAGGTGATAGGAAAAATTTACTTGAGCTTGCAGCTCGGGGGAGCTTAGCTTGTCATCAATTACACTATTTTAGCAAATCATATTGAAAGGTCGAACCTAGCCAGTTATCAATTGCACTATTTTAGCATACCATTTAGAGAGACAAACAGAAAGGGGGACCAGAACATCTCTTAATTTGACTCCCCCTCCAAAAAACTTTTACTAAGGGAT